GAAAGCTAAATAAGAATTATAGAATAAATCAGAAAAAAAGATGATTCCACCACTTTATGTGGGTAAGGATTTTTCAGTAATCTCAGGAAATGGAGACTTGGAAAATTCTATCAGAGACCCACATCATTTTATCTTTTGTAATAATACTAGTAGTCACAGCAACCTTAGTTACCAACTTTGGAAGGCCTACTACATTCCAAACTCTGGGAATTAGCAGGCAGCTAAATCAGAATTGTGCTTTAGAAAGATCTGGTAGGAACCAGACTATAGAAAGGCCAGGATGAAGCCAGAAAAAAACATGAAGAAATTTTCATCATTAAGAGCAAACAGTAGCATGGAGTAGGAGACAACAGTTGAGTTGGAGGAAAGTGAACAAGTTCAAGAGATGGCTAAGAGGTAAAACTGAAAATATCTGAATTGATTAGTCATAGTTCCCCATGGCACAGAAAAAGAAAAGATGGCTTGCCATAGTTCTGTCTTGAGTAGCTGTGTAGACGTTCTATGAGAAAGCTGAATGAGAAGTCAGTAGACAGCTGGTATGTGGATCCTGAGCTCAGGAGGCACTTTTGGATATGAGGTTTGAAATTCATCATTTCTTAAATTACTTTTGATATTACGAGAGTAGACCAGACCACTCAAGGAGATGATGCAAATAGGGTAAAAGAGGTCATATAATTTTATTTCATCTTGAAGGTAATCTATGAAGTAGGTTTATCAGACTCATTTTGCAGTTGACAAACTGAAGCTCTGTTAAGGTTCATGAATTAGTAAGCGATTAGTCTGGGACTTGATCCCCATATATGTTTGATTCCAAAGCCCACAATTTCATCCATAAATTAGACTACAATTTAATGCTTGTAATTATGATTGTTAACTTATATAGTATAACGTATATAGTCCTTATGCTATAGTTTACAGTCTGTAAGTTTACACTTAAGTATTTTCTTTTCATCATAAAGTTTTGAATAAAAACTCAGGTTTTATATAGCTAAGTATCTGACCTGAGAATTTATGCCTATTTCAATAAAATTATTAGTGCCAAGATAGACATAACCACTATTACTTTAAAAGGATTTATTCCATCTCGGTATGTTGTACTCTACATGTTGACCACACACTGATACATACACCCACAACCACCAACTCTGCTTAGATTAAAAAGAATGAAAGACTTTTTCACATAAGAAATCTTCACATTAACTAGAAGAAAGAGGTAACTCTTACAAAGAAGTAGTGAACAAACTCTTTAACAACTGACCAGGATGGTGTTAATGTTCCCCTCTGCTTGACTAAAGTTTAGACAGGTTTCTTCCGGACTACAGACCCCTGACTTCCCTTTTTTTAGTGCATTTACTTTATAAAACTTGCAGTTGTGACATCTTTTTCTGCCCCTCTGAAATATATGTAAATCCTCACCCAGCTTTTTGACAGTTTTACAATCTATGAAATATCTTTGTCAGGAACCTGGGAAACATCTCTTTAAAATTTAAACTTTGGGGGCGCCTGGGTGGCTCAGTCAGTCAAGCATCCATTACGACTCTTGATTTTAGCTCAGGTCATGGTATCAGGGAAGACAGAGCTCCAAGTCAGGCTCTGTGCTCAGTGTGGAGTCTGCTTGGGACTCTCTCCCTCTGCCGCTTCCCCTCCCCGTGCTTGCTCTTTCTCTCTCTCAAAATAAATAAAATCTTAAAAAAAAAATAAAAATGTAAACAATGAAGGAGAGAGCACCCCTCTCCTCTAGTCTCTGTGCACTAGTAATGGGTGTTGACTGCCTAACATAGAAAACCTAATCACAGATAAAAACATTTGCAAACTCAGGAACAACTCAACATGCTCTACACATCCCAACCCCCACCCTCCCCTTCCTGTCTCCCATTTCCCCTGCCTCCAGTATTTTTCCACTAGCTCATCCAGCACTTAAAAACTCTTAGTCTCTCTCTCTTATTTAAATAATCTTGAATAAAGTCTTCCTTACCTGTTTAACTTTGGTGCAATTTTTACTTTGACATGAAGTTTTAAACAGAACTGCAGACCAAGGACGACAGCTGGAAGAGTCAGAGGCCCTACAGGAGAACGGAGGACTGCTACAGCCCTGGAAACCTAAGGGAGATTTAGCTTCTGAAACAAAAATGGAAAGCACTGCCTATTTAATTAAAAAGATCTAGGTAGAAGTACAAAGGTATAAATGAGCAAGCCAAATCCACATTCTGAAGCAGTGAGGTGCATCTCCAATCACTAGATGTCAGTAGGACTCCCCCAGTTGTAGAAAGCAAAAAATGTGTCCAGATGTTGCCAAATGTCCCTAGGGAGGAAAAATCACCGTTTGAGAATGACTAGAACAGACTGAAATAAAACCTATATATATACATAGTTACTGTGTTCCCTCCAATGGTTCCAATTTTCATATTGAAGTGTTTATACCTCACAAAGCCTAGTGGTTCTCCAAATGATCTATTTTTGTAAGTAATATATGGCCTATGGAACACACAAATGTGAAGTACAATAATTACTTAATTGAAGTTTATCAACCAGTTGGAATAGTCAAGAAAAATAGAGACTTGCCAGTTATTTCATTCACTCATCCCTGTGCTCAAGAAAGCAGGTACCTGGGTCAAATGAATATATTCACGAGTTCAACGTGAGTTTGATTCTGTTCGATTCTGGGCCCACAGAGTCAGAAATACTTCCACACTTGAAAACTTATCAGAAAATATGTGTACAGAAGAAGTGAGTTTATAGTTGTCGAAGTTCTTCAAATTTTTTCATGGATTTTTGCCATCACTTTTTCTGAGTCACTTATTTTTACTTTTGAGATATTCAGGCTCCATTCTGATCAGGTGTGGACTTATCTTATTCCCCTAGGATGCTTTCTTTCAAATTAGACAGTCGGCCTGGTATAAAGAACAGCCTAATGGTGCTTTAACTTTGCTTACCATCTTTGTTTACCAGGATGGCTTAGAAAAATCTTAATACCAAACGGTTTTTCTCTGCTAGCGTTTAATCTTCTTGCCCTGAAACACTGGTTTATCAGATACAATATATCTATAAAATGGTTCTATATTGCTTTAACAAAGTTTATCTGTAAACTTTTGAATGACATCAACATTTCAGGCAAGCTAAGAGTAAAAAACCTCAGATACTTGTAGTTCAAATTTTGATTTTAAAAGATCTCCTTTTGCTAAGTGTAGTCTACAATGTTTCACTCTGCATAATAGCCTAACCTTTGTCGGAAATTAATGTCGATGTCATTAAATTGGCTGTACAGCTACCTGTGAAGGAGAATTGCTAATTATTACAAAAAAGGGGGATGCAAATGCAAATAATATGGAGTGTTTGATCTCAGCTAGCAGAACTAAAAATAATCCAACAACAAATAATACCACCTCAGCAGCTCTTAGGTGTGATTTTTGGCTTCCACTACAAATGCACTTTGAAATTTTTCATATGTAGTTCATGGGATGATACAATTCCAGGACCAATAAGTTCCTTTGCACTTAGGGAAATGATAAACTCTTTATTTTTCCAATGTTTTGAAATAAAAACTGTACTCCCTGCTACTTGTATATAAATTGTTATGTTTTTTTGAAAGAGAACAGTTAGGGACAGAACTGAGAGAGAACTGTACATTATTTTTCAGGGCAAATGAAAATTCATGTCTGCCACAATGGCCCCTTAAATCTTGATGTACCAAAGTAGGAATTATTAGTCCTCTCCCATGCAATGGAAAATGAAGTTTCCATGAAAAAAAATATCATTTATAAAGGGCAGGTTCTTTGTTCATGTTCTGAAATGACTGACCTTAATCCTATTTATTAAAATAGAGTTTTATATTTTCAATTATTGGGGATATCATGAAAATGAATAAAATGGAGGGCACATTTAATTATCAAGATTATATTCCTTAACAATTCATGGGAGAAAAAATTTCGTATACCAAAAAAATGAAAAACCATTTAATCCCTAAATAATTAGAAAGGTTGGGGCACTTGGGTGGCTCAGTTGGTTGAAAGTCCGACTCTCGGTTTCAGCTCAGGTCATTATCTCATGGATTGTGCTACTGAGCGCCTTGAGGGGCTCAGCGGGGAGTCGGCTTGAGAATTGTCTCCCTCTGCCCCAACCCGCACACATACGCTCTCTCTCTAAGACAAATAAATCCTTAAAAAAAATAAATAACCAGAAAGGCAAATTAAAATTTCTCACCTATTAAAATGGAAAACACTATTAAAATCATAATAACTATGTGGAGAATGTTCAGAGATGGGCATTTTTTTTTTCTTGCCACTGTAGTAATCTACACTAACCTCTTGATCCAGAGATGCCATTTCATATACATTATTGGAAACCAATCAGAGATTTAGGCAACAATTTTTGCAAAAGATGACTGGGATAGCATTATTAGTCACAGAATACTGAAAGAGATTCAGTTCATGTTTTGGTAGTATATTACTCACCCATTAAAGTCATGCATTCAAAGTATATTCAGTAGTCCATGAAAATGTTAATGACATAAGTTTAAGTGAAGAACCTGAATAAAGGCCTATGATTCCAAATTTTAAAAAGGAAATTCACTAACATTTTATAAACAATAACAATAAGGAAAATAAAAAGAAATACGTTTGACTGCTAGCAGTGTTTATATTTGGCTAATGAGTTAGGAGGTTTTTGGTTCTTGTATACTTTATTTCCTAAAATTTAGGAAATAAATTTATTACTTTTAATAGTAAAAGTAAACATTTGATAAGAAAATTAATTGTGTCAGTGAAAGTCTATTTTGTATTAAGGAAAGTTATACAATTTTCCAGGAGAGGTTTAAACTTGGGTTTTTACAGAAGCTAATTTCAAAGTCTTCTGAGAATTGAAGGCTAAACTCCCAACAGGAGCAGGTTCCAAGAATAAACAAACAAAAACAGCAACCACCTACTTGAATGTGTACCAGTTTTTATTTATTTGTATCTGTAACATGTATCTGAGGAGTGTGTAGAGAGTCTCAGATAGAGATCTCCATATCTAAAGCTGATAGACTGTTTTTATTTGTGTACATGTGCATGCTGAAGAACACAGATCACAAAAATTAGCAGTTGAAAACAGAAGACAGTGTTATAGCATTGTCATTCAATTACTGTCAACAACTTCTCAGCTGCATGCCAAAAATTATTTTTCATGAAAAAATATTTTTAATGATCAATCAGCTAATAAATCAAGTCTTTTCTCAATGTTGTTAAACAAAGAATTAGAAACCAGATAATATAAAGAACTGGACTGTCAAATTAGAGTTACCTGAATCACAGGTCTTATCCAATATCAAGTTTTCCCCATAATTTCTAGAACAGTTCCCATACACAAAGCTGGGGAAGTCCTGAAGCCATGGAACAATTTCCCAGACTCCTGGATCTCACATTCTCTGGAACAGATTAATGTATGAGGTTTGTACGTAAGGTTTATGGTCACTCTGCTTACATAAAAAAAAAAATAACTATTTGGTTCATGCAACATTTCCATTTTATACTCAGATAGTGCATACAGTTAATCGTGCCATTTTTCTAGACAGTTTTGTCCAGTAAATCCATGGATTGCTGGTTTGTCCTAAGGAACCCTAGACAACCAGGAATATTCTGGAAAACCATTCCATAGTTAAGAGTTCTCCTGTTAACAACCCCCATGTTTAATTAGTATGCAACAAGGTCTATTATCAGTATGTTCAGAGAGAAATCAGACTGGTTCACCTGCTTTTTGTATTCCCAAGACCCATCCACCCTAGCTCTGTAAAGGAAGTAAACAGACTCCAGACTTTGCTGCAAAAGTGAAAAAATGTCTGATATATCACATAATAGTAAAGGCCAGTTCTCAAAGAATCAGTCAAATTATACTTCCTGTCAGGAAAAAAAAAAGTTTTACTTCCTTTGTCAACCAAACATGTTAAAAGCATTCACTTTCATTCACTTTTCCACCATCTCATTTCTAAATGCACATTGTAAAGATGCAAGTTTAAGGTCTTATATTTAATCACGTTTGCCATTTTAAGGGAATATCCAAAACTCATGTTAATCTGGACTTACTTTTTTTGCAACCAACCAGTTTCCAAACTGTAATAGAATTTAAAATGTGAGTATCTTAAAAAAGCTACTTTAGGGCCTCATCATTGTAGCATCCTCACCTTTGGAGATAAAATATCCAAGGTTTGGAAAATCCCCTCATCAACCATGTTTGCAGGAAGTCTTTCAAAGCATGTAATAGATTTGAAACTCTTTAAATAGAGAATAGTATTTAAAAAAAAAAAAAAAAGACTAACTGGCTGTGACAGGAAATACCCATGAACTGATCAAACTAAAAGATCTATATTTTATGTACCTCCAAATTTGTCACCATCTGTCATGCAACTTCTAAACTTTTATGGACTCCATGGAGTAACAGTGGTGTCTTTAGGGAATACGTAATAGATAAGGAAAGACATAAAACCCTAACCTGGCTTCTCGCTACCGTGTTATAAAAGGCTCAGGTGACATAGATAATTTGAGTTATCTTTTTGTTGTGTACTATGGAAATTTATACAACTCTGGGAATTGCATCACATTAATATTAAAGACAGATGAAAGCATGCTTTTTTTTTTTTGTAACATGGGAGAAAAGAGAGTATGAAAGGGAAGACAGAAAAAGAGAATGGTCAAGATATCTCCATCATAGGTGTTCTTAGGTAGAGCAGTTTTAGGAAAGAACATATAGGGAAATTGATAAAAATCTGTCTACAACTAATGTAATCTGTGGCATGACTTACCATAAATCCAATGACACAGTTTGATGATCACTGTATTAAAGCATTAGATTATCTAACAAAATATTTTAAAATGTACGACTAGATAATGCATGACTGTTAGCATCTTAACAAATAGCACTCTGCTACTTACCTAGCAGACGGCAGAGCTCTGATGGGGTTGTGATCTCACTGTGAGTATCCACAATGCAAGGGAGAAGGACCAAAGAGCGAGGAAAAGCACCTGAAATGAAGACGTATGGTCTAAATTACAAATTTACTCTATTTTCCATCTTTTTCTTAGGAGACTAAAGGTAGTTGAGACTTCAAAATTTTTTGAATGAAGTTAAATCTTGGAGCTCTTAATCTCAGTGTCAAATATTACACAATAGAAAAGTGCCAGTGTTCGAACTTTTGATTACGGCCCAATATCCAAAGGAAATGTGAAATACTCTTTTATATATTCTATGGACAATTTCTAGATATTATAATATCTTTTTTTATAAGATAATCTGGTAATTACTCTTTCAATTAAGATTTTTGTCTAGCTCCCTATCTCCAAAAGATCTTAAATTATTGGATGCATAAAAATAATTAACATGCAACATTTTCTATTTATGGTATCAAGATGAGGCCAAGATTAAAATATGTAATCCAGTACCTTTAATTGGAGAAACAATTACATATTAAATTAAGTGATCTAGATTGTTGCCCACTTTAAACAACTTATATTTACATTGCATGTTACAAAGAATAAATTTAAAATTGTCCAAAGAAGAAAAATTCCCGACTTTTCTATGCTAACAGTCACTATTTTGTTTCTAATAGAACTTTCAAAGAAAAAGTTTGCTTTTCACAACTTTGAAGGATTCTGCTATTTTCTCTACCCACAGAAAAGAAGGATTTTTGTGTTCAGAATCACTGACTGAAAGGAACTGGCTTTTGCTTTCTTCAGATTAATCTTACAATAGTTATTTCCTTGAGCAGCCATCAAATACATAATATTAGCACAAAACCGTAAATTTGCTTTCCACTATTGCCAATATTAAGATTATGCTGCCATCTGATTCATAGGTTGGTTTACAGGCGTTCATCAAGTTAAATATATTTTAGACTCTAAAAATAAATTACTCATCAGCTTTTTATTAACTCTATGTCGTGTATATGCAGACACACAGACACGTGATCAAGACAGACATTGCTTACTCTTACAGGAACAAGGGGGAATTGAGATAGAATTTGTGTAAGATTCGCAACTATTAAGAAACTGTTAGAGGAGTAAAATACAATTCCGAAAAATAAAAGAAAATATGGTCAGGGGATAAGAATTTAAACATCCATGCTTTTTGTGGGTAAAAAGTTGATAAGTGATTAAATTGGTGGATAAACTAAGCAATGATGAGAATGGACGCATATATATTTATTCTATGCACACAATAAAAAGAGATGGAAAATCACTCAGAAGTCTTCTGAAATCTGAGTGTGCCTTAACCTTTCCTAAGCTATGGGGTTGTTTCCTTTTGCACATACGTCAATAATAATAAAAGTATCATGGTAACTCCCACTTTTGAATAACAGCATTATTGTTATTAAATGCATTAGTTATAAAGATATATTTTGTAAAAGGATACTTGTTTTTAAAATGGCAATATTTTATGTAAATTGGAAGATACATCACATTATCAGGAGATCTACCTGATTTAAACTATGCTGTCATTTTTTTCCTCATCTGAAAAGGTAAATGACAGTATATGAAGGAATTAATCCATTTGTTAATTTAATAACATGCATCTGGTGTCCACCAGGCACTCTTCTAGATCCTGGAGTACAAACAGATAAGATTCATATCACCTAGCACTTACATTCCATTGGACAAGAGAGATGGTAAACAGACAAATCAACAGATGAAATTTCAAGTAATGATAAATGCTACAAAGAAAAATAAAGAAAGCAAAGGAGAGGAGAATAAAAAGAGGTGCAATTTTAACAGATGGTCAAGAAAGGCCTCTCTGAGAAGGCGGTATTTTGGCAGAAATCTAAAAGATGTGCTAAAAGGAAGTCATGCTACCATTTGGGAAGACTTCCAGAAAAAGCAGAAGAGGCCCTGTGAGGAGAAGCATGTCTGAGGAGTAGCAAGGAGGTAAGTATAATCCAAGAACATAGAGAGAAAGAGAAAAAGGAAGAAAACAAGGTAAGAGCAGTAGCCAAGGGTAAGATCATGAGGAGTATTATAAGCCATGGAAAAGACTTGAAATTCTGGAAAGAGATCATAGGGAGATCTTATATTTTAAAGATGAAAGGTAATCCCCAAATAAAAAATTCACAAAATAAAGTGCAATAGCTATTTTAAAATAATTTTCACTTAATGTCCTACTCATTCACATGGTGTTGAGTGCATTTTGTAAGTTTTTAGAACCAGATTGATCCATATCTATTTAATACATGGAGATCTAAGGTGAATAGGATAGGCAGCCATGTCTTTAAATGAAACAGCATTTAAAGAAAAGCCAAATCAAAAGTCATTTGCCAAAAACCAATACAATTTTGTAAAGATTAATTTATTGTTTTAAACTGACTCAATTAAACAACCTAGACACTACTAAAAGAACTGTCAGCTAAAAAGCGTGGTAGAAGTTTCATAAGGAGAGGTAGCAGTTCCAAAACACCTGCCCAACCTTCTGAAAATTACCATGAAGTTCAGAGAGTAATCACACAGGATTAGTACATGTAAGCACAATCCGCCCTCAGTAATAAAACAGCAACTTACTGTGCTGAGGAAACTGTTGTTTTAAAAGTGCACAAACCTGGGATGCCTGGGTGGCTCAGTGGTTAAGTGTCTGCCTGGAGCTCAGGTCATGATCTCAGGGTCCTGGGCTCAAGTCCCGCATCAGGCTCCTCGCTCAATGGGGAACCTGCTTCTCCCTCTGCCTGCTGCTTCCCCTGCTTGTGCTTTCTCTCTCTCTCTCTCTCTAATAAATAAAATCTTTTTAATTTTTATTTATTCATGAGAGACAGAGAAAGAGAGAGAGGCAGTTGAAAAACTGGAACAAAACACACTGATGACCCAACTTTTAGTATCTATGTGAACTTTAAAATGTCATGTTTTGGACCCATTTGAAGAATTGACTGCTATCTGTAGTATCTGTTACAGTGACATGAGTGTATCTCAATAATTAGCCCAGATTACATAATATCACTAACCCAATAAGGTTTTATAAAATACTTTGATAAATGCTATTCTAGACTACAATCCTACTAACAATTTATTCACATTTTTTTTTATCAGAACATTGTTTTAGGAACCAAGTAACAAAGTCAAATTAGTTGCCTGATTATGGTCATTAGCTATTCTCAGATGTCTTATGGAAGGAAGTTCCTTGTTTTCTGTATTCTGTTTTTATCCCAACTTGTTGCTTTTATCTATTTTGTTTAGTCTACTGAATACCCAAATCTTTTAGAAGACAACTATAAATGATAGGTACTATTAGTCTGCCTTGATTAAGAAATCTATTGGGTGTTAATGCACTGTCCTAAATACAGTGCCCAGGATTCTTTTTTTTTTTTAACTTTCAGGTGTTTATTTAAATTCATTAGTTAACATATAATGTAGTATTAGTTTCAGGAGTAGAATTTAGTGATTCGTCACTTACACT